ATATCGACAATGTTAAATTAAAAACTTTCCGTATCATTATTTTTCATTCTTTTCTGCTGCATTTATTGTGGTTGTGACAGAAATTCCAGGTAAAATGCAGGCTCCATTTTGAAGACTAACAGGTGGAGTGAAGGGCCCTGGGATCCCAGGGCATCCTTACCCATAAAGGACCTTCTGGCTCCTGGCGATCCTGTCACAGGCCACAGGTCCTTCACTGGGTGAGGGGTGACCAGAGATGCATCTGTCCAGGTGCACATGCAGGTGACGCACATTTCTCATGTCATTCCCAGCCCCAGGCTGGCCCCCGCACTCAGCCGTCAGCCCAGAGCTGCAGGTCCTTCGCCTGGTCTGTGCCTCCTCCCTGCCAGCAACTCTCCTCCCGGAGCTCACCTTCATCACCAGAAAAGACGCCTGTTTCTGGACCTCAGCCCCAACTTCCTCCCTCCCTCTGACAGTCAGGTCACAGGGAATCCCAGCAGGATCACCAGGGCTAGTGTGGCGTTGATGCTGTCATGTGCATTTTCTGATGCTTTGCTGAGATTTCCTCCTTATTTCTTCAAGCAGGTTTTATCGAAGGGCCTTGAGTGACTGTATTAGACCATCTTGACCACAATGCAGGTTTGGAACCAGGAGCTCAGAGTACGTATTCATTGCCGGATGGTTTCTTTCTCTTCTCTTGCACTGCTTTGAGGTGTTCAGGAGCAAGTTTAAATTTTACTCAGATTTATCCTAAGGTTTTCATGTTGATTCTACTTTTTTTCTTTTTGTAGAGATTTTTGCCTTACGGGGCATGCACTCCCCAGAGAGAAAGAGACAGAGATAGTGAGAAGAAAAGTGTGAAATCACTCCCCTGGGGAGATGGCCATGCCACAATCCTGTCTCTTCCATTCTCCTCCTTGGATCCTGGCCATGCATGCACATGCGGCTGGTGTGAGTTTTAAGCCACCAGGTCCAGGATTCGAACTGTGGTCCTCCATATCCAACAATGTAACCACTACACCATTTGTGGGTCCCAATGTTGATTCTATTTGGAATACTACTACGTTCTATGCCATATTAGCTGGTTTGCTGCGAGTACCTAGAACAGGATTCATTTCTGCACTCAGGGCTGCCCATGGCATAGACCGAAGCGCTCACAGAGGAAGCGTTTGCAAGTTCCCCCCAGACTGTGAGCTGGGCAGGGCTGGGGTCACCTTTCTAAGCTTTCTGCCGTGTTTCTATGGAGAGACTTTACATCTGAGCAGTGGGGACTGTCTGCAGAGACATGAATGAAATGAGAAGATACAAGCAACGGATCAGCAGAAAGTTGAAGAAAAGGACCAGCCACTGCTAGATCCACTCTTCACAAAACATTCGGGTGCTCACAGGGAAGACAGCCCTGGGTCTTTTTGGTCCAAATCACAAGCAGCAGCAACTGCCCCATATGGGAAGAAGTACTAGAAGGGTTTTTGTCTCACTTCCTCATGGGTCTATAGCACTGTGTACCATTGTTGTTGTGATAGGTTAGACAGTAATAGTCGGCCTCGTCCTCAGGCTGCAGCCCAGAGATGTGCAGAACTCCTGCATTGGCCGAGGTGTCCTTGGATCCAGAGAAGCGGCTGGGGACCCCGGTGCCCAATGCTGTACTTGAGTAGTGGTACAGGAGATAGCGGGGAGTGCTCCCTGGCTTCTGCTGGTACCAGCTTATTCCATAACCACCAACACTGAAGCCACTGCTCAGGGCGCAGGTGAGTCTGGCAGATGCTCCAGGAGATGCAGAGAGGGAGGGCGGCTGGGTCAGCACAGGCTGGGAGAGGGAACCTGCAGACACACACACGTGAGTGATGGGGCAAGAACAATGGCAATGATTCTCAGAGATCTCAGTAAGAAGAGACTGAAGCAGGCTATGATCTATTCTGTGTCCCAAAGCCCTGTCCTACCTGTGCAGTGAGAGAGGAGCACGAGGAGGAGAGAAGTCCAGGCCATGGTGGACACAGCCCCTGGTCCCCACATGGCTGGACTGCCCCAGGCCTCCTTTTCTTCCCACCCTCTGCCACAGGAGGGGCTCTTTATGCAAATGTGAGTCCATCCAGTGACTGCTCAGCCCCTCCCTGAGCCCTGGGCTGGGACTCAGCTCACACTGCAGGCAGAGGGGGAGGGAGATTGTCTCCACCCCTTGGGGAGCCCTGGGAGGGAGCTCCTGCTGGGACAGCACAGAGGGCCTTGCTCAGAGGACTCTGCCAGTCAGAGAGGACACAGCTGCTGGGTCCCCATCATGGAGCACAAGGCCAGCCCCAGGTCCCTCTCCTTTGATGAATGGTCCTGACTGAGCCACTGTTTGGAGACCTCAGGGCAGTCTTTCAGCGCCCCCTGCTGATGTCAGGTGCGTCCCAGTGTTGAGACCTGAGAACCCAGCAGGTCTCTGCAGCTTACCAGGTGCTGTCTCTGTGCACACGACCAGGTCTGACTCTCTCTGTTGGATTCACTGTCCTGGGCATGCTGACTGCAGGTGCTGAGTCCTGGTATGTGGGAGGTGCAATCACGTATAGAGACCATAACCCAGATGCCACGCCTGCGCAGGAGATGCCGAAAACCCTACATGACACTCTGTGTTTCTGAGCACACATCACAGAGGAGGGACAGGAGGGCTGGCGCGGAGAACGTGGAGGAGCTGCCCAGGAGGCAGAGGGGATTTTCCAGGACTTGGCTCAGTGGCATCTTCAAAATGTGTCATTTAGCAAACATTTGAAAAGTCCTGCAACACTTTCAGAATTCTGAAAAAGGGCCAGTGTGATTTAGTGATTAGTGAAGAACTCCTAGCTGGGTAGGCTTAGCATTTCCCTGTGTGTAGGACCCTGCACTTCTCATTTTGTGTCGTAAGCTTCACTTCTTACGTTTGTCACTCTGCAATGTCGTGTTACAGAACTTACGTGAGGATTGTCTTAAGTGTCGCACATCTCTGTGTGGGGAGCACTCTTCCTTTCCCCTGGATTTTCTTACTTACAGTTTCAGTTCCGCAGGAGCTCACTGGGGCAGTTTCTGTTTTTGCAGACAGGTTGGACGTCTGGGCCGGCAAATGTGGAAATAGTCCCGTCTCTTCACACCCTGCGTGGAAACTGCTCTGAGTGTGTGAGTGACTCCCACGGTCTAGACCCACAGGACTTAGAATAAATGACCTGTGGCTGAGGTTCCTGCTTCCCTCAGGCACCCTGTCCCCCAAGCCCTCAGAGACCATCCTCGCCTCATCTGACAGATCACTCTGACTTAAAATCCTCCATGACTTCCTCACTGCTGTTTGCACAAAACTCAAACTCCCCAGCTCCCCTAAGGTGCCCCCGTGGTCTGGCCCCTGTCCCTGTCCCACCAGTGCTATGAGGCTGCATCCTCACTTCCTATTATGCCCCTGGAAACCCAATTTCCTGTCCCTTCTATGGTCCCCACGCCAGCTCCTCCTCTCTCTGGGGAGGAGATGAGCTTCACTAAATTGATTTTGGTTTTCATCTTCCCAGTGGCTCCATAATTGAAATGTGCTGACTGAAAAAATTCCCAAGGGATTTTAAGTTGTGCACGTGCGAAGTTCATGGCATGATAAGTTTCGTGTCTTTTTGTCAATGTTAATTCTTTTTTTTTAGAGGTTTTTGCTATAGGGTGCGTGCGCTCGCCAGACAGACAGAGACAGAGAGATAGAAAGCGAGAAATCACCCCCCAGGGGGTATGGTCATGCCGCAATCCCTTCTCCTCCATTCTCCTCTCGGGATCTTGGGCACGCACGCACACGTGCCCAGTGTGAGTTTTAAGCCACTGGATCTGGGACGTGACCCGCGATCGACTACGTGGGAGTCCAGCGACATAGCCATTACGCTAACTGCTGGTTCCCTCAATGTTAACTCTTGTCACACACTACGACGTGCCTTACTTCTGTTGACCTGCTGACCCTCTCTCCTGTGATGAAGGGGCCCCTGTCCCTCTGCCTGGTCTGTATCCTGAACTTGACCCACAGCGGGTGCTCAGGAGACATCAGGATGGAAAGAGCTGCGCCCTTGTGGGCATCCCTGAGCCAGTCCCTGCTGGTCCTCTGTCCCTGTCCTGACCTGGCCTATCATGTCCATAGGGCCTCCTGCCTTTGTCACTGAGGACTTTCTGCTCAATGGAGGCAGCCTGACAGTGTGTTGATGTCACAGGGCTGGAGGACTGACTCTGGGGAACAAAGCTGCCCTCTCTGGGTCACTGTCCCTGGCCTGAGTCCTGGGCCCTCATCATGGCACCCCCAGCAACACACACTGAAGGTTAGTGGTCCTGGCCTTGGGTGGTGGGTGCTGTAGGCCGTCCACACAGAGAGGAGGCGCCTGTCCCTGCCTCCCTATCCCCAGGCTGCCACCTTGGGAGGCCTGGAGGAGACCGTCTAGGGCCAACAGTCCCTATTAGCCTCAGCCTCAGGCTGGAGCCAAAGATGCAGGGAATGGTGTGGGCCACACTGGCAGCCCCCAAACCAGACCTGAACCCCTGAGAGCTGATATTTGCTTCTGATACCTAGAATGTCGGTACTTCCGGACCATCGCTGGTACCAGGACACCATCCCAAGACCCACGTTGCAGCTGGAGTACTTCCGGTGCAGGAGATGCTGACTGGCTGAGCTGCAGACCCCCACTGCACAGGCTCCGGCCTCAACCCTGACCACCACAGGACAAAATTCAGGGGGAGTGAGGTGGCATAGCCAAGGGAGCAGGGCAGAGCCAGGACACACACCCCCCCAGATGCCTGTCTCCAGCCCCCTATGAAAAGCGTGAGGGGTGAGGAAGAGAAGGGTCCAGGCCATGGTGGGGGTACCCCCATCTTTACTTCCTGAGCCACAGCTTGTGTTCCCCCTTTTGTCAGGATTTTGTGCGCACACACACATGTGCTTGGCATGTTTTCAAGCTGCCGGGCCTGGGGTTTGAACTGGGATTGAATCCCCCTCGGCCTTGTGGGATCTGGCTCTCTTAACCACTAGGCTACAGGGCCAGCCCGTGGCATTGTGTTCTAGTTTAAAATGTGCGAGTCCTTCGCCTTGTCTTGTTCCTGATATTAGAGAACCCTCCGAGGTGACCCTTCCCACCCTCCACACTCACCTCCTCATTCTCCTGAAACATGGGTCATTCTTTTTCTTTGCTTGTTTAGGTTTTTGCCATAGGGCGTGAGAGCTCGGCAGAGAGAGACAGTGTCAGAGAGAGGAAAAGTGAGGAAGCCCCACCCAAGGATATGGCCATGCCAGTCCCTTCTCCTCCATTCTCCTGTGGGGATTTTCAGCACACAGGCACATGCCCCGGCACGATTTCCGAGGCACTGAGACTGGGACTGGATCTGCACAGTTGGCCATATGGGAGGCAGCACTGTGACCACCTCGCCACCTGCTGGCCCAAACCATGTATTACTCCAATTGCTGTTCTTATTTATGTCTTTATGTCCTCTGTGTTCCCTCAACAATGTCAGCTTTCTGAGGAAGGGACCCTTCCTGTCTTGTCTCTACTGTGTCCTGAGCCACACGGCCAGCTCTGGAGCCGGGTGCACAGTAGGTGCTCAGTAAACGCCGTGGACAGATGACTTCATCATAGTTTGGGTGCACAGCAGAAATGCCTTCCCCACAGGTCTGGGCTCTCAGAAAGTGAGGTCAGGACACTGGCAGGTTTGTGTCTGTGGGGGCCTGGCCTTCACACCAGTAGTCCTATCACTGTGACCCTCATGGGCACCCTGTGGGGACACAAGGACCTGGCCTTTGCATTTCCCAGTCCTTCCTCTGACCCCCAAGTGGCCTGCCCTGTCTCCTCTGCCAGCATCACCCCTCACCTTCTCAGGGAAATCTCCCCACATAAATGACAACATAAATGAGAACACTCACATGCATGACCTCCCTGCTTGATCTGAGATGGCTCCTGCTGTCCTCAGGGGAGATGGCCCTTCCCCAGGGCTTCAAATCGTCTTTTCCATTACTTGCGGGATGTCACAATGATTTTTGTATGGACGTATTTGTGATTTTTAAAATATTTTATATTTGCAACACATTTTGTAATTTTTACTCTCACTGAAACAATGGACATTTTAAAACTACCTTTACATGATATAAGGGACAATGAAATTTAATAGTGAATTGGATCGATTTTGTATTCATTTGGATGAATTGTCGGTGCATTCTCCATCTTCTGGGTAGGTCACTGAGACATCCAGCAACATGAAAAACGATTCCCACAGCACACATTTTCACCCCTTCCTCCTCCATCTGTTGTGGATGGGACAGAAATTCCAGGGAAAACGTGAGCTCCATTTTGAAGACTGAGAAGTGGAGTCAGGGACCCTGGAACCCCAGGACACCCTCATCTGTCAAAGTCCTTCTGGCACCTAATGCTCCTGTCACAGGTTACAGGTCCTTCATTGGGTGAGGGATGATCAGAGACACATCTGCCCAGGTGCACATGCAGGTGACAGCACTGTCCCCACATCACCAGCACCCAGACCCAGGCTGTCCCCCACCATTGTCCCTCAGCCCAGAACCACAGATCCTACACCTGATCTGCGCCTCCTCCCTGCCCACAGCTCTCCTCCTTGAGCTCGCCTTCAGCACCGGAATAGACAGCTGTTTCTGGACCTCACCCCGACTTCCTCCCTCCCTCCCTCCCTCAGACACAGGTCACGGGGAATCCCAGCAGAGTCCCCAGGGCTAGTGTGGCATTGATGACTTTATGTGCTGTTGCCAATGCTTTGCAGAGATTCCGCCTCCCCATTCATTCAAGCAGGTTTTATCCAATGGCCTGGAGTGAGTCTATCAGACCATCTCCACACGTCACAGGTTTGGAACCAGGAGCTAAAACTATACATTCATTTACGATCGTTTCTTTAACTTGTCTGGCACAACTTGGCAGTGTTCAGGGAACAAGTCTCCACTTCTCTCAGGTTCATCCTCAGACCGTCATGTTGATCCTGTTACGGATGCTGCCGTGGTCTCTGTCGTACTTGCTGGTTCATCACCAGGATCTAGAACACAATTCATTTCTGCACTCGG